AAAATATATTTTTACTTACGCCTCAGAGTTCTAAATCTAGTCTGCATCTGCTTTGACGTCTTATTAACCTCTTTCGTTCATGGGCGATTCTAAATATTTGAAAATGTCATCCGCCCGAAATCTTTTTCTATCTAAACTTTTCATGATTTGCCGTTCTCTTATTAATTTGAGAAAATATCGAGTTTCCTCGGTTTCCCAATTTTCACGCTTTTTGGTTTCCATTTCTTTCACTTTCTTTGCTTTCTGTATTCTGTACTATATAAAATCACGTACTCTGCAAATAATTGAGAGTTCGCAGAATGCTTAATTTTTACGGTTGGCATTATCGTCATCGTTACAGTGCGACCGTTTACACGTCCTTCTTACGTCGATGTAGTAACCCTATGCCTCTTCATCAACCGACTTTGAGTTACTACATCGATGTAATAACTTCGTCGTAAAAGAGCGTTTACACGGCATCTAACGTCAGTAGTTATAACATCGATGTTATAACTTCGGATTAAATCGGGCCGTGTAAACGTAGTCTATGACCGCCCGGCACAGTCCTCGTCGGGAGACAAAGCGCCTGAAGGCGGCCAAGAACGTGTCGGCCGAATAGTCACTCACTGCCTCGAGGTGGACGGCCTTGGAGCTGAAACACACAAAAACTGCTAGGAAGGCCTTGTACGCTTTATGGCCGCGTCCCTTGGCCGTCCGAAGGAATATCGGACCGGCGAAGTCCACTCCGGTGTGGAGAAAAGGTCGACTGGGAGTGACCCTGGCCCGTGGCAGACTTCCTATTATAGGTTGCGGGGAGGCCGCCCGCCATCGGATGCATGGGAGGCATCGGTGGATTACGCCTCGCACAAGCTGACGGCCCCGTGGGATCCAAAACCGCTGGCGGACGATCGCTAGAGTGGCCTGAGTTCCTCCATGGAGAGAGCGGCGATGACTTGCGTCAATCACCAGGTAAGCCAGATGCGAGCCCGGCGGCAGTATAACTGGGTGTCGTTGGTCATCGTCTAATGGCGCGTGTTTAATTCGTCCTCCAACCCGCAGGATTCCCTCAGCGTCGATGACCGGAGTGAGTCGGCGAAGGGGGCTTCGGCCAGATACCGCCCGTCCAGCCCGAACGTCAGCGATCTCCTGAGGGTAGGCGACCGACTGAGCCACCCGGATCCACCGCGCGAGGGCCGCGTCCAGCTCCGCTGAGGTCAGCACCGAGACGTGCGCCCTCGAGTCAGGTAAGGAGCGGTGCATCCTCCACCTAACCATCCAGGCCGAGACACGAAGCAACCGTCGGAGAGAGGAGAACCGAAGGAGTTCATCGGGTTCTCGCGCGTCAAAAGCCGCAAAACACCGGAGGGCCCTTTGCTCCGGGAGCTCCACATGCTCCGGGAGGCCCGGCTCTACCGGCCAGTCCGCCGAGCCCCTCGCGAGAAAGTCGGGCCCGCTCCACCAGAGGGGATGATCCAGGAGCTCCCTCGGGGTTAAGCCACGAGAGGCGCAATCAGCTGGATTTTGGCTCCCAGGGACATGACGCCATTGAATGTTCGGACTCGCCCGCTGAATCTCAGCGACGCGGTTAGCCACAAAAGTCGTCCACCTGGTGGGATGGCCGCGGATCCATCCGAGGGTGACCATAGAGTCCGTCCAGAGGAAGAGAGGGCGACCTCCAGGTGCAGCACCACACGCACGTGCTCGACCACCTTGGTGAGCAGGCACGCCGCACTTAGCTCCAGCCGAGCGAGCGTGACCTGTTTCAGCGGTGCGACCTTGGTCTTCGCCGTCACAATTGACAGGTGAGGTTTCCCGGCAGTCGTCACCCGGAGGTAGACCACGGCGACATAGGCCCGCTCGGAGGCGTCCGAAAAGCCGTGGAGTTCGACGGTGTCTTTCGAGCCGGCGAGCCGGAACCATCTTGGCACGCGGACCTGCTCCAGCAGGAGAAGCTCCTCCTTGGGTTTGTCCAAGCCGCCGCGTCAAGGTTCCAGCAGGTCGTCCCAGTCAAGCCGCTGCAACCACGCGGCCTGAATTAATAGTTTTGCTTTAATCAACACAGGTGCCAACTAACCCAGCGGGTCGAACAACCGAGCGGTCCGCGAAAGCACCGATCGCTTTGTGGGAGAGACCACGACGGATTTCAGGACTGTGAACGCGAAGTCATCACTCCCAGGACTCCAGCGTAGGCCCAGCACTGAGCAATCGTCCGAGGGAAGCGAGGCGTTTGCCGTCGGCTGCAGACGATGCTCGGGGGGGACGTCTTCCAGGAGGGCCTCGTCGTTTGCAGCCCACTTCTTGAGCGGGAAACCGCCCGCCAAGCACAACGAAGTCACCTGCTCCCGGACACGGCGGCACGCGTCGAGAGTGGCAGTCCCGGAGAGTACATCGTCCACGTATCGATCGCTCTGCACCGCCTCGGCGCCCAGAGGAAAGCGACTCCGCTCATCCTCCGCCAGCCGGTCTATCGTTTTCAACGCAAGGTAAGGTGCATCTTTTTGCCCGTACGTGACAGTGTTTAAGGCGTGCTTCAATTGTTTCCACAGGATCATTTGCAGCATTTGTCTGTCCTCCGGGTGCACCAGAATTTGCCGGTACATCTTCACGATGTCGGCAGTGAATACATATCGGTGCCGCCGCCAACGCGTTAGAATATCAGCGAGAACCGGCAGCAGATTGGGCCCCGCGTGGAGGAAGTCGTTCAGCGAATGACCTGCCGCGGTGCGCGCGGACTCATTGAATACAACGCGGATCTTCACGTCGGAGCCCGAGCCTTTTAGGACGCCGTGATGTGGCCTAAAGCAGGCGTTGACGCCACGTTCAACCGTTGACGGCGTCATATGCCCGAGAGCGAGGTACTCGTCCATGAAGTCGTGGTACATTACACGGAAGGCAGGATTGCGCTCGAATCGACGCTCCATGACCTCGAGCATTCGGGACGCAGCGCGGCGCATGGACGACAAGTCAGGTAGCTCCGACCGGACCGGTAGACGCACCTGATAACGGCCGCATCAAGGCGCTGGCACGTCCGCACCGACGAAGTCCTCGCACTCCTGCTCGTCGGGGGTGAGCGGCAAGAGAGCGCGAGGCGGCTCCTCACATTCCCAGAACCGCCGAACCACCTCCGTCAGCTCATCCGTGGCAAAGCATTGGAGCAACGAAACGGCGAGTGCTGCGTGACAACTCCCCACCGCGCCCATGAGCATCTAACCGAGCTGCGTACATTGTGCGATTGGCTCCAGGGGGCCTCCGCGACGGAGGTCCGCTAACACGATGCTGGCGTATGCTTCCGCACCAAGGAGCAGCTCGACGGGGTCCCGAGCACGGAACTCGGGATCGGCGAGACTGAGCCCGTCCACGTGTGGCCACGAACCGCTGCCGCTCTCGGCCGCCCCGCTGTACACGGACAGCTTCGGTAGTACTAAGGACGAGACGGTGAGCGTGTATTGTCCGATACGCGACGCGAAGGTGACGGCAACTCGTCCTCGCGCGCAGCCCGTCCGGAGGCCACCCACACCGTAGATCACGACAGACGTCGGAGTGCGCTGCAATTGCAGGCGTTGGGCTAACGATTCCGAGATCAGCGACGTTTCGGAGCCCGGGTCCACCAAGGCACGCACGGGCTGGTACTCGCCGTGACAGTTCATCACCAGGACGCGCGCGGTCGCGAGTAAGACGGGGGCGCACTCCGCGGACAAACGTTTTGCAACGTGCACCGTCGGTGTCGAGCTCGTACCGGGAGCGGGCAAGGCAAAGGCCGAAAATGCGTCATGAAGCGACGTGTGATGTCGACCCGAACACTTTAAGCAAGTCTTGGTGGAATTGCACTCACCGATCAGATGTCGACCCAGGCAGTTCAAGCATCGTTGATGCGTAGTAGCTACCTCTCGCCGCTCCTGAGCTGTCTGAACGGCTCGTCTTTTCACCAGGCTTTCCCGAGGATGCCTCGCCCTTGGCTACCCGGAGCACCTCCTGCGTCATCAGCTGCTCCTGCAGGAAGTTGCGGAGCTCCTCGTAAGACGGTGGCACAACGGTTTCCCGAGCGAGCTCTTCCACTCGCGGCGGGTTTTGGAGTCGAGGAGTTCCACGACCAAGTGCACAAAGAGGTCCGTGCCGTTCGTGATCGGTCGCCCTATACCCTCCAATGCGCCGACGGTGGAGACCACCCCGTGGAAGATGCGTCGGAGATCGGAGACAAACTCACCTTTCATCTTCGGAAGTGAGGTAAATGCTGCAAGGAAAGATCTCACCAACAGTCTCTTATTTTCGAAGTGGTCATTGAGGGTCGACCAGGCGCGCTCGAAGTTCTCATCCGTTGAAGGTAAACTTTTGATCAATTGCTCAGCATCCCCTTTCACGCTTGTCTTTAAATAATGAAACTTTTCGACCTCCGACAGAGTGTCTTCATTCACTAACATGGAGGAGAACAAATCTCGGAAGGCAGGCCAGTCTTCGAATTTTTCCGAAAACTCCGGCATCTGGATTCGGGGCAATACATTGCGAAAAGTCGCATGCCCCGCTTTGGACTTCGAGCCATCGAGAACCTTCGCTTCATCGAGCTTCTGCTCGTACTCTAGAAGCTTGGTTCTCTGCTGGATGTAGGCCGTTTCGACGGTACTCAGGAAGTCCTCCGTATTGTACGTGCTCCTATCAAACTCCTCACCGAACTCTGCTTGCAGGCGGTACTGCTGCACTTGGAATTTGGCCCACTTGCCCTCCAGGACAGACAGCGTAGAGTGAATGAGGGAGAGCAAGATCTTGGCTGTGCCGGTTTTGCGGAGATTCTCTACTGTGCGGGCGATGCGCCCGTAGATGTCTCGTTGGGAGTTGATTAATCGCTCCATTCTTCCTTTTCAGAATCACTCACGACGCGATGGAAGCCGCGCCGAGGGCTGGATCGCGGACTGAAACCGGTTATCACGACGCGAATCCGGCTTGAAGGACCAGACATGTGCGAAGTTGCACTTGTCGAATTTTGTCATTTCTGGGAAAGGCAGGAAGGAGCGAGAAAGCGAGGCAGAAAGCAGTTGCGTGAAAGGAAGTGTATTTTTCAACAGTGCAGTGTACAAAAGCAAGCCGAAGACAAGAACGAGACTGAAGTGCGCGAACTCAAAAATCGGCGAAATCGGAGTGAAAGCGTGCGAACGTTACTTAGCGAAAGCTACGTGCGATATAAGCGCGGACACGGCCGTGCGTGCTTTATTTATAGTCCCAGACTTTCCAGAAGATTCTGCCGGTGAGCGACAACAATTCTGTCGGAGACAAAGGCGGTGGCGAATCTTCCAGAAAGTCGGAGAACAAGTTGTTTGTTTCTATTCGGAGGCTCCATCTATTTGCCTCGTGCGGTTGCTAACCGATCTTTCAAGCCGCGCGATTCGCGGACCGAAGCCTGTCTGCGCGACGCATCACGCAGGCAAACGCGCGCTCGTGATTGGCGCACGCGATGCTCGGTGTCACGGTCTTACATACAGGTCTCTCAACTTGATAGAATTTCAGTGGTGGGGGTGACTCCAATATCGAAGTCATTTCTTGTGGTGTCGCTGCTATCGAGGGATGTCGATTTGACACGCGATTTGAAATACGTAACCTGTGTTGTCATTGCGTTAATAAACCAATAAGTCTTTATTATTTAATACATTGTGTTGTGCTGTTTTCGGTTATTTGTACCTTCCCTTTTTCATTCACGATCGACACGTGGAATTTTAAGGTATAGGCAGTTAGTTTCTATAAAATTTGTCTTGGTCTGCACGAAATTATTTTTGTACGCAAAATACGATAAAAATATATTGTAAATATATTTTTATCGATTTACAATATATATTATTAAATTTTAAATTATATAAATACATATATACAATTTTTACAATATAATTGCGATATATATATAATATATGTATACGTTTTTATATTCAGCGCACGCTCTCTCTCGAATAAACTTCCTTTGAGTACAGTTTACGATATATTGTCCGTCCCTTTATTGAATCCTCGTATCACTGCGCCATCAAAAATATCATATAAAAATATTATCATAGAAAAATATAATCATCTAAATATATAATCATAAAAATACTTTATATACAATTATTACATTTATATATGATTATACAAATATAGGCAAATAAATAGGAGTTCCCCCGGAGGCCTCGGCGGGGGAGCAGGTCGGTACAGGTGAAGGATAAGAGAGGATGGAAAGAAAAGAGTGTGAGAGGAGGTAGAGGCATAAGGAGGAAGATACGTGTAGAGGAGTGTAAGAGGCGTGTGAGGAAGTGGAGGAGAGGCCAAGGAAGGAAAGATAGTACAGATATTGGCGAGTGAAGAAAACAGAGCAAAGAGAGGTTAGGAAACATGGCGAGGTTTCGAGGCAGAGAGTCAGGAAAAGGGGGGGTGCGGAGAGTGAGAGAAGGTAGAGAAGGAGAGAGGAAAAAGGAGAGGAAGGAAGGACTATCCTGACGAACCAAAGTTGGAGGCGTAAGCAGCTGGAAAGAATAAAGCAAGCTTAATGTGCCGCACTGGTTAGCGGAACGAAACGGTAGACAGACAGAGTCGGCAAGGAAGAGAGGTAACATGCCGGCGGCTCGGGAGAGATCAGGATAGAGAGAAGCAGCGAGTTGGGAAAGCGGTGGATGCGATAGATCGATTGAGTCGATAAGGAGGGAAAGGCGGGGCTGCCAGACCGATAGGAGGATCGATGGAGAAGAACGGTAGAGGGACACAAGTGCGGAGCGACAATCGAGGCAGGTCACGTGCTATTAGAGTGCGTAAACGGGAGGCGTAAGGCTGGTTTCACATGGGGCGTAAGATGCGTATGCGTAACTTGCATGAGCCATATCATACGCGTCAGTAGCTGAGATGATTTACTATACGCGTATGATACGATTAAATACTGAGACGATTTGATTGGCTGACGCAAATTACGCATACGCATCTTACGCCCCATGTGAAACCAGCCTAAGTTCGTGTTGGCGAACAAGGAATAGAAGTAGAAAAGAAAGTAAGTAGGAGAAAGGAAGGAGAATGAAGAAGGGGGCAAGCAAGGCCGTGGGTAAAGGGGGCGAGAGAGGAAGGTAGAGCAAAGGAAATGAGGTAAATGGATCTTTCTGTTACAGATAATTCAAAAGGAAAAAAAGAGGAAAGTGGTGGAAAGAAGGAAAGAGTGGAAAGAAGGATGAAATGTAGAGGAAAGATCATAATAGAAAAGGAAGCGATAGAAAAGATAGTAAAAGGGAAAGTATGGGAGATGATAAAGGAGTTTAAGGAAGATAACAAGAGAAAAGATGAGGAGATAAAGGAATTAAAGGAGAAGGCAGAAAGATTAGAAAGAAAGGTATATAGGTTGGAACAGGGCGTAGACAAAAGGAAAAGGGAGGACAGCGAAGAGAGTAGGGGTAAGTTTGGTAGGAAGAAATGGTGAGCAGAAGAATATGAAATGAACGACGACGAGAAAAGAAAGAAGAACGTGATTATAAGGATTGAGAAGGAGAGATGGAGGGGAAAGGAATCAATTTGGGAGAAGGTGAAAGAATTGTTTTCGGAAGGATTAAAAGTAAAGGTAGAGGTAAAAGAGGTAAGCGTGATAGGTCAGAAAGAAGAATGGGTGACGATAATAGTAAAGATGGGAAGTGAACAAAATAAGTGGAGGGTATTCGACGCAAGGAGAAAGGAAGGGAACAGATTAAGAGTGAAAATGGATGAGGATAAATCGGTGGAGACGAGAATAAGAGAAAGAGAGGAGAAAGAAAGGAGAAAAGAAAGGAGAGAGGAAGAAAGTGAGAGACCAAAGAGGTCCACGGAGGACGAGATTGCGAGAAGGATGGAGGAGAGTCTGTTAATGGACACGAAAGAGGAAGAATACGATAGGAAGAAAAAAGAGTAAGAGAAATGTAGAATAGAAAGAAGAGAGGCAGGGAGATAAAGAAAGAAGCGTTAAGGTAGAGGGAAGGGAAGAGGAAAAAGAAATAAGTTTGTAGGATTAAGGAGGTTCGATGGCTTCATTGGAGGGAGTAGTGGGACGCGGGAGTTCTGGAAACAGCGCACTAGCGTTTGAAGTAGTGGGAATGAAGGGGATTGCTCTGATTGGTCGCCGCGTGTATAATGCGTGCTGCTGTTCACGTCGTTCACGACCATGACAGTCTATGCAGACAAAAAATCAAGCAATTTACGCTTTAATAATCAATTTTTCTACGAAATGTGCGGTAACCTTCCCCTTTCTTTCGCTCATTTATTTGTAAATTATTAAGTTACATGTGCAAATTTCTTTTTCTTTATCATTTGCATTTTTTTTGCACTTATTTCATTCTGAAGGTATATGCAATATGTCATTTCCCATAAAAACCATAAGAACCTATGTTAAAAATGCAGCCAGTTTCATGCAATTTTAATATGTTGTTCTGGAATGCAAAATAGAATTATGTGAATTTTTTGGGAATTTTTTACCGTCCCGTTTTGAAATAAATCTACTCCTAAAATTGTACTTTTTAGGTTTTTGGAGTAGATTTTTTTCAAAACGGGACGGTAAAAAATTCCCCAAAAATTCACATAATTCTATTTTGCATTGCAGAACAACATATTAAAATTTCATGAAATTCTCTGCATTTTGTTGTAGCCATCAAACCACCTTAATACTGTTTATTTTCAGAGTAAAGGTAGAATAAAAAAAAGGAAGGCGTCGAACACGAGGAGGGAGAGAATCGGAAAGAGAAGGGAAGAGCAACAATGGAAAGGAGGGAGTCAAACAAAACGCCATTCGAAACAGAACGATGGAGATCGAATAGATTGGATTGGAGTAGATGAAGATGATTAGAAAATAATAAACGGACATTGAATGTGTTTGTAAAAGGTTGGGTACGTCCCTGCAAAACGCCATGTGTGTTGGATATAGCAGAATATCATATAAGTTTGCTTGTAAAGGTTTTTGGGAACGTTTTTACTGAAAAAAACGTTTTTTCAACCCCGGAAGAGAAGAGAAATAAAGATGATTGATTGATTGTTCGGGCGTCGCTTTACGACGGTCGCCCTGAATCTGGATTCCGCTCAGAGTTGAGCGAGAAGCGTGGATAACGCGAGTCGTAAATTCGCGGGAGGAATGAGGATTAAAGCACTCGTAACACAGATTGCACAAAGAAATATATAGTCTTTATTTCAAGAACGGGAAGGACGCGAGGGGGAACAACGGATCGTGCGCCGCGGATTCGGAAATCTTCTGAGTCGTTCGTACTTTTCTGCCAGATATCGCGAACGGAAATCTTGTCTCAGCTTCTCGCATCGAAGCCTCTCGCGTAGCGGAGATCTTGTACGCGTCGAACGGAAATCTTGAACGCGCGGCAGAAGAACGATCGCGAGCGGAGCACGACCGGAAGTTTTCGGTCCCCTCGCTAAGTAGCACACTTAAATTATAAATAACTTTGATCCGCACGTTAAGACGAAACGAACGAATAGCGATTCACGCAGCGATTTAAGAGGGAAAGAGCCGTGCTGTCTTTAGACGAGGATTGATACGCGACGATTTTGGTTATGAGTTCTAGCTCCCGACTTGAGGCTAGGAATCCTCAGCAACGACTGACTGTCCGGCGAGCGACTTCGTCGTTTACTCACGAGGGTTGTTTTTCAGGAACGAACGCGCGATGAGAGCTGAATCGCGATTCGTCCGTATGGTCACATCACGCGTCAAAACAGCCGTTTCCGTGCTCCGACAAATAAGGGAGCACTCTCGTAACGCGTGATCGCGATCGATGGGCTTCGAGGGCGCGGGGATCGCGGGGAACGTATATTTCGCACAAGTTCGACAGAGCTTGAACAACATAAACATCGGTATTTCTCAATGTTAAATATAATAATGTTTTCGAGC